TTTGTGAGCATATTGAGTAGGTATGAGAATCGGCCAACATCTATATTTAATCCCGCGCGGACGGAGTCGCGGGCGACTGCTAGTTTTATATATATTTTTCTATTATAATAATATTTAATATATTAAACCCTATATTACTATTATATATCTATCTATTTATACAAAGAATAAGATATAACGTGCTTAAAGTAAGACAAAAAAAAGTTTTTTTTAGAATATCATGTGCCAAAGTTACCAGGATAGCAGGAGGCTTTCGGTGTTGCCGGCACAAATCCGCACAGCTTACAGAAGCTCACAACTTTACCACGTTGCGGTCGAAAGTGGTTACTTTACGAGGACATTTTGTGAACTTTAAATTGTATTTGGTATTTTTGTACCTCATCGTTTATATGGAGTTTTATTTTTAAATTGAGATGTAAAAAATTCGAATATCATTCAGAACCCGGTGTACAGCCAGTGTGCTCGTACACTGCTTGGAATTTTTATACAAGTAAAAATAATATATTGACAATCTATACAAGAACAGGGGCGTTAGACAAAGTGCATTTGCTACGAAGCGATTCCATAGCGAATTTCATCTTATATATAAAATTCTCGTGTCACAATTTTCGTTCCCATACTCCTCCGAAACGGCTTGACCGATTCTCGTGAAATTTTGTGAGCATATTGAGTAGCTCTGAGAATCGGTCAACATCTATTTTTAATCCCACACGGACGGAGTCGCGGGCGACAGCTATTACATGTATAAAATTGCCGCGCGACAATTACATGACTTTATTGTCAGTCCTACTTCTATATTTTTGAAGTTCGGTATAGAATCGCCTCGAAGTCAACGCATTTCGTCTAACCCCGCAGGACTATAGGGTTGTCAACAAATGAGCAAATTGTTTTTTTTTTATTAGTGACAGTGGAAGTATTTATATTGTTCTCATAATGGCCACGCGTGCCGCACTAATTGTCATAGCAAATAGAAAAGCGCTTACTAAAGCGCTGTAACTGCTTTACTGACTGATTATTCGTTGATAGATAAATAGCTGATAGGAAGAAATATATGTCTACGCTGAAAGACAATCGATAAAATCAATCGGCGCAATAAGGAAAAAAATCACATTGGGCCGATTGAACGGTAGGCGAATCGGCCCAACTGGAAACACAAAAACGTTGTAATCATGAAGTTTTTAGTAAAGCGACTATACTATATTACTATGTTTGTAAGTATGTTTTTACGTAGTTTATTAAAATGTATGGTAATTTTATTATGAACTCCTATAGTATAAACGTCTGACAGATTTTGACGTTTGAGGTTATGTAATTTTTTTTTTCAAGAACTGCACTGATACATAAATGGACAGGCTATAAGACGTGCTATTTTGTGCCGATTTGAATTTCACCATTTTGGCGCTGACGGTAGCGTTTTAAAGCGGTGGTAAGAATTAGAACTAATAATAGAGATGGAATTAAATGTCAGTAACACCGACAGACGGGTTGAAGTCGGAACATACCAAATGCTATCACTTCCAAGCCAAATCATTTAAATGAAGAATTGACTTATATTTTTGTTAATTAAAAGTTTTCTTTTTTTATTATGCGGAGTAAAAATAAAAAAACAGCAATTTATATCATCAGCCCATCTGTTTTTAAGTTGTACTATTAATTCCTTACAGCCGTACACAACTATATGCTTACATCAAAGTAATTTACACTTAATTAAGTAAGCAATAAGCTTCATTTTTGTTTTGTACTAATTATTACTTAATGAAATCTGCAGTTATTTTAATTTGAACTTTATTTTATTACAGTTAAAGTGTATTTTGCATTAAATAATGTTTAGATGTTATGTTCGTATTTATATTTTGTGTTTCACAGTAAAATTAAACTCTAGAGTTGATAGTATGGAAAGGGCTTCAGTAAAGCAAGCCATAAACTGCACTAAACACGGTCTTTATCGTATATCAGGTACGATGTATGGCCGTCCTTAAATAGTTGTTTGCGGTTATTTTTTTATTTATATTCTATCACGTGTTTGTCTAAAAATGGAATACATTAGTATCAAAGTCTGATAAAACATACATTGACATATTTTTTTTGTACTGAAATTTCGGCAGTACTCGTATAGAAAATTATTACAGACTAGCTGTCACCCGTAACTCCGTGCGCTTGGAATAAGAAAAAAACATATATAATTTGTAGGCTATGTGTTCTTCCAGTCTATGGTCTACGCCTGTGCCATTCATCGAAATTCGTTCAGCTGTTTTGGATATACCTCCAAACATCCATCCATCTATCCATCCATCTAATCATTCGCATTTATAGTATTAGTAAGTAGTAAGATTTATGAAACGTTTTAAACTATTAAAATAAGTTAAAACATAAATATTAGTACTACTAGATAAAGAATAGCGAACCAATGGCACTAGAAATAAAGAAAAAACAGAGATATATTCATATTTGTAGTCAGTGTCTGATCATATGATATTCGTATACCATATTACACTGTTATACACGGTCTATTAAATTAAAAAAAAAATATTTGACTTTGAAAAAAAAATTATATTTTTTCATATTTTTCTCTATTTAGTTCTCAACCTAGCCATACATCGGTACTGTATCATTGAATTTTGGTACACGATGTATAATAGTAATTTCAAAACTAAATACAGGATGATTATTTTAAGAATAGCATTAAATGTACGCAAATATTCTTTTAAAAAGTTTCACCATTTCATAAAATAAAAGAGGATTTAATAATTCAGTATTTCTTAAAAGACCATTTATTCTTTGATGTTATATAGTTTAAACACTTTCTAATATATTACCCACTTTACTTGATAACCATGAAGGAAATTGGCTAATCATTTCTTCTAATATATCCATTAGTGTAAATTGTTTCACATCAAAGAAATGAAGCGAAATATCAAAGATTGTTTATATCTTTTACATAAAAGATAGTCGTGTTAGTTACACTATTTATAACTCAAGAACAGCTTTACCGATATGCCTGAAAATTGGTGAGGAGGTAGCTTAGAGCCAGGAGACGGACATAGGATACTATTTATTCATTTTTTTTCGTAGTTTCCAATTTGCATATTCCTAAAATATATGCTTATTTACAATAACAACACTAACCGTGGGTTTCCGAGACCAAAATCCCCGTTTTGTCAAAGATAATTACAGGGATACAAAGATAACGGCGGCGAAGGAAAATATCGTGATGCAATCTGCATATATCTGCAAAGAAATTCAATGATATGTGTGAAGTCAACCAACTCGCACTAGGCCAGCGTGGTTGATTATGGCCTACACCCCTAAGTTAGGCTCCGAGCCCCGTAGTGGGGACTTATAGTGAGCTGATGTTCATTTGACAGGGTTTTAAAGAGATTTTGGTCTCAGAAACGAACAGATCTAAAATATATTGTTAGGCACACACCCGTCACACACTTTCAATTTTAACTAAACAATCGGATTGCTAGTAGCTGGCGCTAGGTCTTTTTTTTCTTTATTAAAAATATTAGCAGATTTTTTTGTAAATTTACTAATATTTCTTTTACTATTCCAACTAAGCTCTACGCTTGTGCTAGGATATGGTTTACGACAGTAGTTGAATGGTGGGATTCGAAGCCCCGACCTCGTGATCGGAAATCCGTAACCTTAACCATTAGGCTATTGACGCTTAATATTTATTTTTAAAATTTCAAATAAGACCTATAAATTCGTAAATATGTGTCAAAATAAACCGTAATATTTAGCGGAATTTTTATTAAGAATCACAATTATTTATTACAAACGTATTTTAGTTTTAAAATAAACGCATCTGCTTTGCAAAATGGCGGATCAAACGATTAGAAAATATCAATAAACGTAATAAATATTAACACCATTTGGACTTTAAAGAGCTTATAAATTTAGTGTTATGGACGTTGGAAATAAATTATTAATTAATAGCCAATTTCTTTCACTGATGTTTATACGGCCAGTCCTAAATGTTATGACAGCATAACCTCTTTGATATCGATTTGACACTTATTAATAGTGATTTTACCGCCAATTCACGCTTACCGAACTAATAATGGCGGCTTAACACAACACGTATTTAGACGATATTTATACGTCCTGTCTACCATTAGGATTTGTATTTTACTAATTTTACTAAGCGCGAAATAATCATAAATTATATTTTAATGTTTCCGGACGTTCGCCGCCGATGTTGCCGTATTAAAAATGAATAGCGGGTTCTTAAAGTATTTCGCACTGGCAACACTGACACCGTAGGAAGCGGATACGTCTATTATATCATCTGGGAACATGAAAATTTCAGAATAATGGTCACAAGGAAATTATAAAATGTTTAATTTATACGAAGTTTCTTTTCTTTTCTTGTTTATATGTTGAGTTGTTAAAAACATATTGGTCATAGTCATTAGTTTGAAAAGTTTATTGGACTATAAGCATTGGTTGCGCGCGTAAATCCTGACAAGGGTTACATTAGAAGATAATTTTGAAGTTTACGCAAATGTTCCGACTACCCACGTAAATTGTTTCTCTGAATTATTGGAAACAAATAATAAAATTGTTGAAAGATTTATGTTTGTAGAACAACAAGCTTCCTCAAATAAGTTGTTTACAAATTATTTTTCTGACTATATACATCTACTTATAACGTACTAGTTGTTACCTACGACTTCTTCCGTGTGGAATTAATAAAAAAATAATACTAAAATTAGGAGAGTAGAGTTCAAATCTCAGACAATATATCGGAAAATCATTTTTTGCTATAAGTCATTTCGTAGATTTTGTAATGTTAGGAAGAAAAACCGACATTATGCCCGTGCATCAGCCTATTAAAATAGCAAAGGTTATGTCAGTCTGCCTGTTATGTCACTAATCTGACACTTGATTTAGTAACAAAAGCGCGTCCTTTGCTTCAAATGATTCGAACTAAAACTGTCTAAAAGTACATACATACTAGAGAAATATATTTAGTTATGTCTTCTTTGTTACAGTCAAAGATCATCTCCAAAATTCAGACATCGAAGCCGACGATGTTGAAACAGATGATCAAACTTCAAACATGGATGACGATCTTTTAACACAATCAGATTTGGACGAGAACGGAGACCCAAAGAGCCCTATCAGTTCCAGCTCCAAGAAGGGAAAAGGAGGGTCCTCCAGAGACTCCAAAGGGGGAACTAAGCCCCGTAGAGCACGAACCGCGTTTACATACGAGCAACTTGTCTCTTTGGAGAACAAGTTTAAAACGACCAGATATCTGTCCGTGTGCGAGCGACTTAATCTTGCTTTAAGCTTGAGTTTGACAGAAACACAGGTAAATAGTTAGTAATAATAATTTAAACTCTTATAATATTGATTACCCATGGATATGATACACGAAAGATAAAGTAGTAAGAAACTTTAGAATTAAGCGATTAAGAAAGATAGATAGATTCTATAGCTGAAAAGAGATTAGTTATGCTTTTTACACCATCAAGTTTTTACTAAGAAACTTTCAACTTTTCTATTTATTTTTAGTTTGTTAAAAATATGAGTAATTTAGCTTTAATTTATAAATTGACTAAATCTTTCTTATGTTAATTTTAACCCCAGGTCAAGATCTGGTTTCAAAATCGACGCACCAAATGGAAAAAACAGAACCCAGGGATGGACGTGAACAGCCCTACGGTTCCGCCGCCGCCCGCGGGAGGTTTCCCGTCGGGGCCCTATCCTGGAGGTCTTCTGTACTCCCATGGGGTCCCTTACCCGTTCACAGGGCCGGGGCCCTATGCGCCATACTTCCATCACCTAGCTGCTAATCATCATCACACTCATGGGAGTCTGGGGCACTCACACACGTGATTATGGCCTCGCCCTGCTGACGCTAGGGTTGAGAAAGATAACGAAAGTGGACTATCGAATTAGTGATGTGTTGTCGATTATAAATAGTGCAATTTATAATTTAAGATATTATGAATCGATTGTGATACATACGATAAGATTAGTTTATTACATTGTCAGAAATTTTGTTTCTAGTGTTTTTCTTTTTCAAAATATTGCTAAATTAATGTCCGTTTTCACTAGCCGTATCTTACTGAGTATATGTTATTTACAAGACTTCTCAACTAAAATGATAATGTATACTTTAGTGAAAACGGATTTAAGTCAATTGCGTTACTTTTATGTTACTTTTTTCATTTAATTTTTTCCTAAATATAAAAGTATTATCCTGTATACATTTTTTTTGGTAATATTTATGTATTTATGTTTAATTTATTTCGTAATTACAACTACATATATAAATGTACATAAGACGACCTCTAACTTAATTGTATCTTTAATCAATGGTGTAAATTCAAATGCGTCATCTTTTGGAGTTGGGCAGAATTGTAGTTAAACATTATTTAATATGTCAAATAATTTCATATACAATAAATAAAATTGGAGTGTCTGTAAGATCGAAAAAAAATTTAACTTCATTTGCGTTGCCGATAACGATTTTTTTTATTATTTTTGTCTGTTTGTCTCAACGCCGCGTTTTTTTGGTTTTTTAATGGTTGGACTGTTTTTGGGTTTTTCACTGGAAGCTACCTAATGCGTGCTTAACTTGGCTATTTTTTATCCGTACTGACAAAGTCGCGGGCAATCACTAGTTGTGTAAATAAAACTTGTAAAAATATAAACATTTGTAAATATTATAAAAAAATGTAAACTAAATCATTTAACGTTTTAATTTATTATTTCTATAATAAAATAGTAAAATTTTCAATATAATATGGTAATTGATGAAAAATTACTTGAAAAATTTGTTTTTAGTGTCATGTTAAATTTGGTTTCAATTTGATTTTTTTTTTATTTTTCACGTGGAAATAGAATATTTATATAATGTCGTTTCCGAGTTAAATTGTATTCAGATGTTTTATAACCTTAATTTTATTTGACAATTAATTTACACCTGCCTATGCTCATTATATTTAAATTAAAAGTAATTATTGTTAAATATTGTAAAATAATTTAGTATAAATACTATAAATACGGACATTGTTAGGAAACATATTTACGTTCAACAAAAATGGTACCACATATTTTAACATAAAATGATTAAGGTTATGTCATAAAGGGAACATACTGTTGTCTCCGTCTTTTTTTAAGAGAATGAAAGAGATAGCAAATAACCAATAAAAATGTCAACAAAATTTGATTTTTAGGTTATTTATTTTATTTGTGTGTTCCGAATGTATCCTATGTATAGACCCTTTTTCCACTATGTCCGTTTATATAATAAGTTATGTAATACATTGACGCTCAATGCTGTAAATACGAGTTGCCGGAGATGATTTTAATTTGTAAACTTGATGTTGGTATTAAAATAGTTTACAGTTTATAAATGTTTTTTTTCTCACCCAAACAATGATTTCTAACCTTCAAAAGATACCTTTAGTCTTACTCAAATTAAAACTAAACGAAATATAAATCTTCTCATTGTATATTCTTAAGAACGACTAGATAGAGTCCTTGTATTTACAAATGAACGCACTGGGGCTTTTGCATGACCTACTTATTACTCTTCTGAATAGCATTGTAAGTAATTAAAAGAAAAACTTTTTTAAAAATTAAAACAAGTACACTCTTAAGGATAAAACCAAAGGAATAGATAGAAATCTTCTGAATAAATATCAAATTTGTAGGCATAATTCTAACAATTCTGACAACCTTGTGGGATGCAAGCTAGAGAGAGAGAGAGAGAGAGAGGGACAGAGAGAGAGGGAGAGAGAGAGAAATATCTAACAAACCTATTGCTTTAACATATACCTATAGATGAATGTAAACACCAAAGATATTCAAAAATATTATTAGATAGAGCGGACATTCCGAGAACGTAGAACTTTCCTTCGAATATTTTAAGCATAATCGCCAATACGACTATCTGTCACAAACGTCAAATTATAGAAACAAAACTGTACCGGTAGTATCATTTTTGAACATAATTTCATTCGTAATGTCCTGTCTATTCATCTTTATATATATATAATTCTTCTGTGAGTGTGTATGTCACTGAACTTCTCTCAAACGTCTGGACCGATTTTGATGAAATTTTTTGTGTGTGTTCAAGGGGATCTGGGAATGGTTTAGATTCACAATTTTCATCAAATATTAACTTCATATTAATTTATTCAAATTAAAGACGTGTAGACAGGACAACGTCTGTCGGGTCCGCTAGTATTCATATATGTCTTTAGTATGGACATATCGTCGTATTTCTATATATCATTCACATGTAACATTAGCATGGAAAGTTAATCTTGTCAAGATTAGCAGCAGACATAAGGACAGATTTTAGTATCAGGAACGGGCGTGATTTGATACGTTAATGTGAATTGTAAAGCACGGCTTGGAATAGAAACTGTGGTTTTGTTACATGCAAAACACCTCGTCGTATTTGTAGCATACTGATGACAAATATAAATTATTAAACTGTAAATGAGCATCTGTCAAATCTTACAGTTTACAGACTGAATAATTAAAAAAAATATGTATAATAGTATTTATAAAACAATAGCTTGTGCCCAGCGACTCAGTCCGCGGGCAATTAAAAAAAAAATTAAGTATCCAATGAGTTCTTTCTTGTATGTTCTCCATCTGTGTCAATTTTCATCAAGATCCGTTGAGCTATTCCGGTGATAACTTATACAAACATCCGTCCATACATTCATCTAAACTTTCGCATTTTAATGGTAAGAAGTAAGATAGTAAAAATGTGAATTTCGTATTTTATTAAAAGGAAATATATATTTTTTAAATTAACTGTTGACGAAATGATGACCAGAAAGAAAGAATTTAAAATGGAACATTTAAAAGTTACCTTAATAGTGTATGTGGTCGATATTTCTTAGTGTACCTAGAAAATCTGCCTATTGTAGATTAAACTGTATACACTGACCTAACCTATCTCCATAAACTAACCTCAATCTGCTAACAAAAAAAAATGTCATCATTGAACAAACGAGTCCATAAAACTTCTTGATTGATGTATCGCGGCGATCGCCGGAATCCATCAAGCTAACTAGCTTAAAATGTGTCAACCGGTTTTTTCATCCTCGCTCCCGCCGGCGCCTTTTGAGCGCGCGAAAACAAGATGGCGACGCGTCATCTGTCATTTTTAATTGTATGTCAAACCGCGGCCGTTCGGAAACGCGTCGCTTCACCGCGTGTATATTTAGTTTATTGCGTTATAAACGGAGCTATTATTGTGGTGGAGATGCCCTCATTAGATTCGCATTTTGTTTGGCTTAAGTTACTAATGACCGAGTCGGCTACTGTATAAAATTAGTGGGTTTATATCGAACGAAATATCTTCTATTTTTAATCTGACATTATTAATAAAACAGCATAATAAGAATTTATGCTTAGTAGTTGTTAGTATAAAACTAATGTAATAAAAACAAAAGCTTTTATTTCTGATTTTGTTCCTTTAGAAATTGAGAGAGAGAGAGAGAGAGAGAGAGAGAGAGAGAGTAATCATAGACAATAAATTAATTTTTATTCTTTACTTTTGTATTAAAAAGACTACTTTGTGTGTGTGTGTTTTTTTACTGTTTAAAATATATAGCACTTTATATTATAATATGTTTTCTATACAAATACACCCACGGCGCTTAAATATTTATAAAAAGGACTTGATATTGTTTATAACATCTAAATGGACGGACGTCACATGTTTTATAGTCGACACCAGCGCATTCACAATCCCCGACAAGCAAACATCAAAGCCACTATCAGTGACGACGTATAAATAAGTCCTTTGAACGAAATAACAACATTTTCTGTTCCTTCTAATGTCTCAATTGAGACTGGACCGTCGTCTCCTCAACAGGGGACACCTTAGCGCGTTTATTTCACAATAAACTGAATATATCGCTTCTGTTCGGACATTTTCGACAGCCAACAAGTGGCAATTAAAAGTGACAAATGGTATGAGTTATATATGTCTAGTGTCGACGCCGGTTTGTTCCAATGCGTCGACTTTGACAACATTCAAAACGCCAGTCCGCCTCTCTCTGATCTCTTCACCGTTCGCTTCATTCTTTACCGGAGTCACAATGAGCTCTTAAGATTAAAATTATAACTTTTAAAGCAAAACATGCTTTAAGTATTGATATATAAAGACTGTTGTTTGGCGCATTTATTACGCTTTTGCTAGTCGTTATACTTTGACGGATGTCCGTTTAAAAAATAAAGATAAAAGCGAACATTTTGTGAGGTTATGACGCGTGACGGTTGGCTGTATAGCAATACGGCTTGTCGTCTAGTACATTAAAGAGCGATAAATGTTCTCGCAAAATATAAAAAACGTGATTCAAACTACAAGAGCGAAGCTATATCGTTTGTGATTAGTGTCATATGTCAGACAGAAATAAGCGACGCGGTTTGGAATACGAGGCTATTTTATTAATAACGCTACGTACTAAACAATTATAAAATACAAGCAGTCGCCCGCAACTCCGTCCGAGCGGAATTAAAGAACTTAATTAGAAGCCTATGTGTTCTACCATGTACTACATCTATGCCAAATTTCTGTTCTAGAGATGTCTTCTAACAAATATCCATCCATCTAAACATTCGCATTTATAATATAAGTAAAATTATATGATTTTTATAATTATTTATTGAGCAGTCATTTTGTATAAAACAAGTGGGATACAAAAATTTGTCGTACTATAAACTTTGGAAATAGCTTCATCGGTGTCATTTTATGTGCACAATTTCTTCCAAACAAATTGCTTTGAAGATTGAAGTCGCGTAAATAATAGTAATTGAGTCAAAAAATAAAGATGCTGTTTTGTTTTTAATTTGAACTTCGCATTACTTATACATATTCTTTGTACAGTTTTATAATGTCATTGTCCCGAAAGAAATATG